AGAAGTCAGGTTTTATTGTCAGTTTTTTATTTTGGATACTAAGATACTTATTTTATTAACACAGTTAAAAATTTGAAAAAAATCAGTATATTCATTAGCCTTAAAATCTAATTTATAAAATTGTGCCTTATTTCAGTTAATTTGTATCAGGTATTTTTGTACAAAATTAATTAATGGAAAAACGTGCTATGTCTAAAGAGGAGAAGTTAGAAATTCAATCTCTAAGGGCAAGGAAGGATTGAAAGAGGCAAGTGTGAAGACTTTCTATTGTCTTAGCTTTTTTGCTTGTGCCTTAGCTTTTTGCCTTCTTTTAGAAGTAGAAAGTGATTTTTGACATTTTCTGAGTGATCTGAGGAAGGACTTCTTTTTCTCTGACACCTGATACCAAGTTGCATTGAGACTGAATAGGAGTTTGTGATTCAGTTCTTTTAAATCCCCTTGAAGGTTCCAGTGAGGTGGATTCGGTGTTGCATCACTACAGGTTCATGCGTTTATTTTGAAGTTTGAGCCCACAAAATATTGCATGTATTTTTCTTGGTACTGGACCAATTATTTCCTAGCAGTTCCTGAAGTACCTATAGATGACATTAGACAGCTTTTGACTTTGGCCTGGAGTTTTGCCTTCCTTCCAACTGGCGGCATGAAGCTTGTTTAGAAACTGCTTGCAGGCTTGTAAATACTTTCTTAGAATAGCAAAACGTTCCTTGTTCCAGACATTCACGTTGACTTTAAAACTATATATACTTTGAGCAAGGTTAAGGTATCCATGCGTCCTATATAAAAGCACTTCTCACTTTTGTTACACTGGGACAGGAAATACGAGTGTTGGAGCTGTAGCAGTGAAAGGGTTTGCTTTTAGGGTTTTCCCCCCTATGCCAAATCAAACTGTTTAATTTATCTTTGAGTGATGGTTCAGAGCCCTCTCTATGGATCTCTTCACAAACTGAATGCATGTATGTGAGAATACATGGCTGGTATTACTCTAAACAGCTGGACCAGCTATAAGGAGCCACCAAGATCATTGTTGCTTTGTTGTTGTCCTATTTCTACTGTTGAAGCATGAACTCACATGAAAGTAGTGAAGGTCCTTTCCAGCCCTAACTATTCTATGATTCTATGTGGGATGCAGAAATAGGACTTTAAACCCCAATGACTTAGTACAAATGTAATAAAGCACAAGTAAAGGTTTTATATAGATATCCATTTGACATGAGAGTTTAAAAAACCCCAAACATGACAACACACACAACCTCAAAAGAAACAAAACCCCAAAAGAAACACAACCCCAAAACCACTACCCCCCCAGCAAAAAGCCCCAGACAAAATAACCTTGGGGTGTAGAAAATACCCACTTTCACACCAACATGAACTCCTGAAAGGCAGACATCTAAACTGCAGCAAATATAAATTGGTTATATTCTACCTGCTGTTCTGTTTTCCTCCATTTCTGTTCTCTGAGGATATTATTGCAGTGAGTAAGGCAAAATGAGTGATGGTGACTGAGGCACACTTATAAACATTCTTCCTTTGAATACAGGTCCAGACACTGCTGCTTTGCACTGCTTTGGGAAAGCAGAGAAAACTTGGTGAAAGCTTACTGTGAAATAAAGCATGGAAACCACCAGAAGTGGTAGATGAATAATGATGGGGGAATATACGGAAAACGTTTAAACTGGGCTTTGAAAATTATTTTTAATGATCCTGAAGAGTAACTTGAGCTTCTCTGCCCCATCAGCAGTGTCAGCAAATCAGTCGTGCACTTGTTAGCTGTGCAGATGAAACCAGAAGCGTCCACTACCATGCATAGGTCTGGGTGAGCGGAGCACTGTACACACCTATGTTAAACACTCCCAGCTGCAGAGCCATTCACAGCATCTTTAGAGCAAACTAAATGTGTGTGGGTGAAATAAATACAGACTGAAACTCAAAGCATTACACACCCTGAGTGCTGTGCCAGGAGCTCCGGGATGGATGCTGTCCACAGGCCTCGCAGCTCATGCAAACAGTGCTTGTACAGGGACACTCACTGAGGAAGATGTGGGCTAACCCTGCTCAGCTTTGGAGGAGATGAGTTCTGTCTAGCACTAAGAGAATAGTTAGTATCTAATAGCAGTGGGAGAGAGTGCATCAAGGGGAAGGTTTTAAACTAACTTGAGACATCAGCCGTATAGCTCAGGTTTGCTACAATTAGTTTTCCTGGTTTTATGTAGTTAAATGAGATTATTATTATTTTTATCATTTTATCATAACAGAAAATGTCAAGCTTTACTGCAGGGAGAAAACTTTTATGATAGTTTTGGAGTGTTAGATATCTGTTATGAAGAAAATAATAATTAAACTTTGCTAATGGGGAAAACTCATAAACTGAATCCCTAATTTCACTGAATATTCCAGAAAAGACCGAATGAAATAACGTACCAAATATATCATTCTGAATAGCTTCTCCCCTCTGCTGAACTTGACTACACTGAGCTAGTGTGTAAATACAATCTGCAGAAGACTGTGCAGAATAGGTAGTGGAGGTGAGCACATTTAGTAAGAGTCTGGCTGTGTGGTCACCATGTTATGTTTGCTGTGGAACAGAAGTTTCCTATAGTATGGGGGAGTGCAGTGCTAAATATTTAATTAGCTGAGCTCAAATGTCATCTTAAATGTTCATCAAAAGACATGTTCATTTCATGCTTGCATGCGTACATGCTAACTTGTGAGTTGGAAGGTGAGCATAAACTGGTACATTTGGAGATTTATAGCAGGCTGTGTAAGAACTGAAGTGATTGCTTTTAATCACTTGCAGTTTCTACTTATTCAGGACCTGCTGAATGTTCAGGACCAGCCTAGCATGTTCAGTGCCACAGTGGTGCCTGAAGCATGTCATGAATTTCTTCACTGCTTTAATGTATTTGTAATCATTGTAATGGATTATGTCAGTAGCAATGGCTTATTCCCAAAAGTGCCGTTGGCACAATGCTGTTATGACAGAGCCTTTGAACTGAGATTGGAAAGCAGGCTTCTCCATTCGCTCTACATTATTATTAAATGAAATAGTGACCAGCTAGGTGCTCCTAGCTTCAGGTTTTTTCTTCTGGAGAAGCCAGTACGTACTTGCAAACGCCTTTTGAAATTTGAATATGGGTGTACAGCTGTAAAGTAGCTATCTTCTGTTTGGTGGAAATGTGCTCAAGGAATTGACAACTTGCTGCATTATTGCAGTGAACTGGGCTCCAGGCAGACCTTTCCTGGATTTGAAAACTTGCAGAAAAGGGAAGTTTAGGAAGAAAAACAGAAAGTACATTTTGTAAGCATCATAGAAATCATAGAACACTTGGATTTCCTTTTTGAAAGGGCAGACTGGGAAACAGAAATCTTGCTTAAAACAACAGTGGGATGGTACCTGCTCAGAGGCATAACTGATGTGATACCTGCCACTTGTTAGAAGGGGTAAGCAGAGAAAAGAAACAAAAGGATTAATCATAGTGCAGCTGAAAGTGTCGAGTTGATTGAATCTTCCCTTTCAAATGGCAATTACAAATCCTCATTTTCATCCTGATTATGCATTTTCACTTTAATAGAGCTTATAGAATTGCATGTTCCTAAATCTGATTTCTTTTAAGAGTAGTGTGAGAATGGTGGGCAAAAAAATTCAGAAGCCTCGTAATGGGAGTGACTTAAATTTTAGGTGACCAAAGATGTACTGGAAGTGAGCAAGTTTCACAGTGTCTCTGCTGAAATCTAGACTGGCTTTGATGGTGTCCAGCTGGGAACCAGAAGAGTAATTTGGAAGCAGTGGCTATGACTGTTTGTATTTTGTGATGTGTTAAAGCAGGAACACCTGTCAGGAAGGAGTCAGCCTCAAGTTTAATTTCACTTTGTTGTTTCACAAAAAAGATTTCTATTTGTTTAATGGGACTTGAGGTTTTTGCCGTTCGTTTAACAGGATTTCATGGTACACTCAGCCTTTGAGTAAATCAGATGGACAGAAGCCTTTTTTGTATTCATTTTGTAAAAGTCTGCTTTTCCCATTCTAATTTCTATATAGTATTTGTGTAAATAAGTGCCCTGTAAAGAAACCAGTCTCAGTCTTACCGTTTAATTGTACAGTGTCATTAAAACAGCTGGAACCAGTACTCGGGGCTGTGACAATTCCAGGGCCTGATTGAAGAAAATTCTTAATTACATTGAAAATACAGTTACAGAAACTGTATCATTGAATATGCCAAAGTTTTGTTCAATCTGTGAACTTAATCTGGCAATCATACAGATTCTGGCATCGTTAACAAATCAGTTCCACGGGATTATGAAACATGTCCCCGTGACCTGTTCAGATTTGTGTTGCAATATTTATTCCTGGCTTGAAACAAGTTTGTTACTGTAGGGCAGACAGAACGTGTTAGACAAGTGAAGTCAGCTGTATTTCTCGTATACCCACGGTGTAACGCAAATTGATAGCTTTGATACCAGCCTTCGTACTTGATTGATGTATATTTGTTTTGGCAGGAGTGCTGCCTTAGATATCGTTCTTCCTCCCCTCCCATGGTCTCCCCCATTGGCTTTCATGCACAATTCCCTGCTCAGCATAACCGCAGTTGTGCAGCACAGCTGTCAGGGCACCGCTGGGCTGGAGCAGGCCCCTGGGAGTAGGAGGCAAGGGATGCTGGAGCTGGCACTCTTCTGCTACAAGAAATGAACATCAAACGATGTCTGCATTTCATCTGAAATCAAGCACTTAGATCTGTAGAAGGATTTTGCATAAGTGCAAACTAAGGATTACCATTTATCATTATTGCCTTTTTCATCTTCATGTTATTTTAAAATAATCAGAATAACCTTTGAAGTTAGGGAAGGTACTGTTTTTCCCATTATATAATGCCTAACGTAAAACACAAAGAAACAAAATAACCTACCTAAAATCAGGCTAGTCTATATCAGAGCCAGAAACGGAACACAAGTTTCTCTTTGCTTTATATTTCAAGTTCTGCAAAACTTTTCTTTAGGAAGAAAAAAAATTGCATATCTAACATATGTGCTTGTGTGCCTTCATACAAGACGCTGTTGTCTGTTTGATGAAGGTCGCTCCAGCTGATGCCTTGCAAACAGAAGCTGCATGTCAGTGGAGACCTATTGATCTTGCTGGGGTTCTCCTGAGGTTAAAGCCTTTCTCCTCACCTGACCATTCTCACTGTTTCAGCTTCCACCCTGCTGAAGGCTGGCCATGCCTTTGTCTCTGGACTGCTCTGTTGGGCTTATCAGGTTTCCACAGCCTTTTCTGTCCTTTATTTCCTTCTACTTAGCGATGTCCCGTAATATCTGCATCTTGTATCTGGGAAGTATTTATGAGCAGGAGATTCTTCTAGCCCAGAAACCAGCTCAGTCTGCATTTAAACAAGGATAGGGATAGAGGAAAAAAACCCTTTCTCTGAGGTCTCTCAGGAAGGAAAGATGGCTTTCAGCAGGAGCCAGGAGTGGTTCAGCTGCTCCACTGACCTCCTCCACTCACTGGCATAGATATAGGGGATTGCAGCACAGAGAGAGTAGTGCCTTCAGTGATGGCACTTTGCTGGATAGGAGTGAGAAAGACCAAGAGACACTGATGCTGATTGAATCTTGAGGAAAAGAAGGGAAGATACTATTCACTGTGTTCCTCAGCTGGCCCTGAGTTCCAGCTTTCTGTTTCATCACTCAGTTCCTTCTAACAATAATTTTGTCTGAGAAATACCTGGTAAGATGTTAGAGGGTGGAGAAATGTAAGGTTTATTGTTATCTTGGGGGTTTGGAGCTTGATGATCTTAAGGTCCTTTCCAACCCTAGCTATTCTATGATTCTATGATCTTAAAGTTATAAAAGTGTTTTAAAATATTTCTGAAGCCCAAAAAAGAAAATCTGGTAGAAGTTAGAAATAATATGGCCATGTAGAGAAGATGATTGGGAAATATGGGAGGGCATGAGGGAGGATTAATGGAAAAAGGGGACATGTACTGCATGTACTTTCATGTTAGACTTTGTCCTTATAAACCATAGTAGGAAGAGCTAGAGCAGATGCAGACCTTTTGGAATATCACGGGTGTTATTTGAATTGGCATTAGCCAGACAAACACAATCTTCAGTAACCATGAATGTTTCTAAAATGTCAGATAGGTTTAGCTCGCAGCTCTGTTGCACATGCCTTTGGGTTTAAAATTAAAAACCTTTTACATACAAGAATGTGCATTACACTGAGTTGTACTGAAAGTGTAGGAAAACATTCTTCAACTAAAGAAGTAGGAAGAGCTAAGTTTTAATACTAAAGTATTTGCTGCACTCGAGGATTACACTTGAGGATTATAGTGTTAAGCTGATTTAGGACATTAGATCTGAAGGACTGGGACATAAACCACAAGTGTAATGAAAGATTTTGCCAGAACTCATTCTTACCCTGTTTGTCTTGGTCTTGGGTTTTTGCTTGAACAGGTTAGCTGCCTAAGTTTGCACTAAAATTTGGCTTTTGTTGCACTTTTAGGGAAATGACTTGGAAATAAACACCCTATATAATCATGTCCATTAAATTAGTTAATTTTTCGTCATCTGTTGCCGAGGTTGATAGGAAAAAACTACTCCCGGAGCTCCTCCAGGGTTCACCCAGCAAGCGCCTGCTGGGACAGGCCCAGCCACCCCACGCTGCTTGAGCTTGGCTCAGCCTTCCCTCCAAGGAAACTGCTGGCAAGGAGGGGACGTGTGTTTGCAGGAGTGAGAGGAGCACCACTGGTTGGTAGACAACATCGCTCGCTGGGCTTCAGAGCTCTTGAAGACACAAAGAAATGCATGTGGGATCAGAGCTGCCTTTTCTGAAGGATTTGAGAGCTTGGGGGGAAGTGTGGGTGTGGGGTTGTTTGGTCACCTGTGTGAGAATAGGCATTTCAGCCTTTTGATGTCAATTTTTTGGCTCTATTTTTTGTGCCAGGGAACATTACAAACACGAACTGTTTAGCTGTTGAATCTGTTGGATTTAAAATAACTTAAAATAGCTTTAAAGAAACTTTCTCAAGTAATCCCTCACCCCCACGCCCCCCAGTTGCAGCACATGCATTTTTTGATCCAGTGTGTTTACAGAGGCTGGAAGAATGCCGTTATGTTAACGCCAGTGTTACTGTTTTGTTTGGTAAGGAGGAAGTCCCTTTTGTCCAAGACCAGTATAAATGGGATAATGTAAATGGAAGGGTTTTTCCAGCTTTTTTATTAAGAAATGTTTTTTTCTGACTATTTTATTTCAGCATCGAAGATGTCCCCCATATGTGCTTAAATTAGATTTCCATTAAGCTTGAAGGCAAGGTTGAGGTGTACTAAAATGCAGTTTGCCTGTAGAAGCAGGGAGTTTATTTTATCTCTGTAGTAACCAAGCATTTATTGGTATGTAGGAAACTTCAGGAAGATAATCTAAATTGGGGTTTGGTTTTGAATTGCTATTTGTTTTATATCATAAGTGTCTATTCAGTAGTGTTAGAAATGACACCGAAGATGTTGAAACACACAAGAAATGGTAGAAGGAGAAATTGTGTTGGGTTTGTATCAGCTGAGGAATTATTGGAGTACAAATGTGACAAGCTGCTAATTCACCTCTCTGTATCTAGTCATCAAAGAAGGAACTGTTGGGGATTGCACAACCCAGTTCTCTGCCAAAGAAATTGCCACATATGCTTAATTTTTAAGTTTCATCTATCAGTGCAGCCTTCAGTTTTCAAAACAAACAAAAAAAGGCAAAGCCAGCCTGGCTCTGGATCAGGTGTTGAATGGCAGCTGGTACCCCAGAGGAGGACTGGGGTGTCACAAGGGATTCCACCCCTTGGACCACCTGGCTGCTGGGGCAGAGGGAGCCCTTCTCTTCAGGACAAAGCCCAGAAAGCTCAACTCCAAACTGCATTTCCTGGCAGCAGATTTGAAAGAGAGATCTGCCCCCTAAAGCTCTGCCATCGCAAGTGACTGACTCCTGGCTGTAGCAGGATTCCTCTGGAGCATGTTACGGAAAATGAATTTTACAGGCCAAGCTGCATGATGTTTTGAGGCATTCTCTGAGGAGGCAGCCGGGATGGATCTGTGCTGCATCGTTGCCAGGTCGTGATGTTACTGCAAGTCTCATGAGAGTCTGGTGCTGTCTTACAGCCCAGGTTCCATACAGCAATGTGATTATGTGAAAAATAAGTTAGAAATTTGGCTCTGCTGATGTGTTGAAAGACATGAAAAGAGGTGTCATAAAGTTCATGACAATACATATATGAGATTTTATATAAAAAAAAAAGTTTAAATCAGCCAAATATGATTATGCTAAATGCAAAGTGGAAACACATTGGTGACTGTTTAAATTTCTTCAAATAACAGTATGATTGGAACTAAATGCAATTTTTCTGCTTCATCTAAGCCAATAGACTAGAAACTGGGGATTTGCTTTTAAGTCCAGGGAAAACATCCGTTTTCAGTTATGGGAGAAAGTTGCCTTAGGGTTACTGGTCAGTAGGATTATTTTGTAAAAGAATGTTGCACCATCTCCCACAGAAAAAAACAGTCCCCATTGTGCTTTTTATCTGCCCAATCATCGGATGCTCAGTCCTCTTCCATAGAAGAATTTCTTGCTAAATACCCTGTAGATTCAGGTGCCTCCAAAAATTGTGTGTGAAATAAGTGTTCCTTACCTGAATTTTGGTTTAAGTATTGAAGGTGGTCACGTTGATAGGTATATTTACATTTGATACTATCTTGTTACAAAATGGGCACATAGATTTTTAATTTCATTAGTAATTTGTCAAGCGCTTACAGAAGACTCAGCCTCACTTGAAATGGACAGGCTCATAAATCAGAATTAGGATAATGGTTGTTTTGAAACACACACCTATAAAAGCTGAGGTGAACAGCAAAACCAGTTTAGGTGACGCTATTTTTTTGTTTCATTGCTCTCAGCATATGCATAGGTTTAATGGAACTTGCAATTAATTGTAAAGGTCTGTAGAATATAACTGTAAGGAATTCAAACCGTGTAGTTGCAGCTTAACTAAAACTGTGGGCTTAAATGCACTTGGTTAAATTGGTGTAGAGAGCTGTCTGATTGGGATTCTTGTTTGCATTTATGAAAGTCCATAACCTATGTCCATGGTATCTACTAACATATTTCTCATTACAAGTTCTCTGGTTTGGTGTTTTTTTCTTTCACATCTTGTTCCCTGCACTAAATGAATTTAAGATTCACATTGAATGGTTTGAGTTATTTTGGTACAGTATTTGTATTGGAGGCTTTCTTGTCAGTGGCTCTAGCATGATGAAGACTGAACAGTCTTACTGCAGGACAGTGGATCAGGAATGAGGTAGCAGTCAGTTGGAAAGAAATGTTGATCACCCTCCAGCAAAGAAGAGAAAAAAGACCTGCTGAGGTGTTTTGGTTTGGTTGGAATGTGCTGCTAGAATGCAGTAAGGGTTGAGGGCTTATTTTACACTTTGTGGAATATTCCTAGGACAAGTTTGATACAAGCGATGTGTAGACAGAACAGATAAACAGATTGTGACTGAGATCTGTGGGCTCTTGGAAAAGATGGCGAATTGTATATATTTTCCAAGGACTGAGATCTTATTGCTGGCATGAAAGTTGTGCAGGGCCACTGTGAAAAGAAATGCGACTTTAAACACAAGTAGAATTAATTATACTTGAAAAGTCTTTTCCAATCTGCAGAGCATATTTACAGTCATCTGCAGCTGAAGGCCATTATTGCCCCCACACTTCAGCCTTCCATCTCACGCTCTGCTGGTGGTGACTGAACTGTATGGTTTTCCTCATTCTTCTGATCTTATCCTCAGTATCATTGAGATTCCTTAATGGAAAAGCAACTTCTGCAGCAGATTGCCAACGAACATATTGAATCTATCACATCAAAGAAATAGTTGTAGAATGGCGTGAAGACTCTGCTTCTTTTTAAAGCTGATCTGTATGGGCAGATCTTTGAACCCTCTGTAATTTTACTGACTTTGATCAGAGTCCATACAGCTGTAGTTGTTTTGAAGAATCAGATGTTGCTGTTATGCTGTGAAGGTTAAAGGATGGTGTTAAAGGATGGTTCTTGCCATACTTGTTGAAGACTAACATTGCTACTTGGTTATGTGGCAATTTAAATAAATGCTAATATTTTTGGTCCCTATCAGCTGTAAGACCACTTGGTCTCTGATATATTGGTACCAGGAATTCTGTGGGAACACGGGTAATTACTTTTAAAATTGATTTTCATTGTATAGAATAATTATATGTTTCTCTAAAATGTTGATATACAATGCTTATCTGAACTTAAATACACACATGGGTTTTGTAGAATTATTTACTACTCTGTGACAGATACACACATACACAGCTGTGAGTCATTTACATGAAGAGTAGGCAGATTTCTGAAAACAGAATGAAAAGCTTTAATAGCAATATAGAGATGTGGTAGAAATTTGTGTCAAATGTCCTTTATTATATGATCACTCCCATATAAATATATAGCATTGAAACAACATTTCAAAGCCTAAGGTTTCATATTCAAACATTTGAAGATCAGAAGGAAACAACATAGTTGCTTGCACGGTTTTAAGGCCATCTCCTTGTGTGTGTTTGTGTTGTGATACAGCCTTTAATTATGCAATCAAATTTTTCCCTATGGGATTCCTAGTTTTTCAACATGACTGACACTCCCTGTCTTTTACCATGGCTGTCTTCGGATGTCGCATCGTAACAGTGACCTCTGCAGTTTCCCAGGGGGCTCTTTGACCATTGCCATGTAGCACCTTTGATACAGTGGTAAAGAAGAGTTTTCAGGACAGCTTTCACCTGCTATAAGGAGGAGTCTTGCCTTCCTTCTCAGTTCCTATTCCATTCACTTCATAGCTTGTAATTTTAGTAATAGTATCGGGGCAACACTCTGCTGAACGGTGAATTAGGAAATGTGAAAACTCTGCATGGGTTCCTCACAGTTCATCAACCAGGCTGGAATATTTTAGTGTCACAGCACAGGCTTTGGTACTGGAACCGGCACAAGTAGCTCTGGTAGTGGTGAGTTAGTTGATGCTTTCTTTGGAGTGGTCCCAGACAGGACATACATTAGGGTGGAGGGAGCTAAGGGATAGCTGTCCACAGGTTTCATTGTATTTGCAGATGGGAAAGGAAGACACAGGAATCACGCATCCTCTTTCAGGCTCCCAGGGAGCTGTTCTGTATGTTTACAGACCCTTTTGCCATTGACCATTGTTACTTGGCTTTGCCTCAGTTTCCTTTGATTTCTCAAAATGTTCTTTGGTAATAGGATAGATGCTGATGTTTAAGTACGGAAACAAGGAGCATACAGAAGAGGATTTCACTTTTGAAAGTTAACTTACAGAGAAATAAAAGAAGCTTTTTCAAGCATAGGCACAGATTGGAATACTTTTGCATTAATTAATATCACAAGCTTAATGTTTATAATGGGAAACTTAATTTGAAGGGAAAATATTATTCCTCCTGATGCCATTACCACTGTCAGTGTTCTTCGTTCTCTGTCATTCCTGGG